CTGAGATCTGAACAGAAGTCAGTGTGACGAAAGGCAGAAGCTCACTTTTGTTTTCTCTGTCGTCACATAAATTGATGTCGTTTTTCTCAAGACACTGTCTGTTAATTTGAACCAGACTGTTGTGCTTCAGAGTTTTGTCAACTGATTAGGAAATCAACAAAAAAAATGCTGAACAATTAATAGTTTTGTTCGTCATATATGATGGTAAACTGGTCGTCTTTGCTGTAAACAGTTAGTTGAATACAACTATAAGGAATATTAACACTTGTTTTCTTTTTATTGCCAAATTCTGACATGATTGGTCAATAAAGCAACGATCAGTGAGCATTTATACGAATATAAAGCCTAGATTTTGCCTCATTATGGCGTTGTACAGTTTGTCCGACATGAACGGAGGACGATCAGCTGATGGGGACGATAACTTCTTGCATTCACTACTTCTTTAGCTCAGATCATACAGTGCTGGTGTTCTGTCATCTCCCCGGGATGTAGTTCAGCATGTGATGCCAGGCAGAGTTCCCCGTAGTCACTGTGTAGCTCCACTGTGGCATTTATGCAATTTAATGTGCTTCTTGCTAATGCGAGCTTGAGAAAACATGAATTTAGCCACAGATAGATGTGTTTTTATAGTGGCTGATATCATATTCCCTGCACATAAAGCAAGAGCAGAGGTGTGTCTGCATAGTGAACGCTATGTTTCATTTAACGGACCTCCTCTCTGAAAAAAGCATAAAAAACTGTTGATATTGTATTTTGGAATGGACACAAACATGCAGCTCTTTTGATACGCTAAACATTTTTGGCCATTTTTTTTCATCCAACTCTGTTTTTTGGATCTGCTGGTGAAATTCCGACTTTCTGACCCAAAATCTTGATGAACCTCTTTGAATTGCGGCTGACATGTTGTGGAGCGACAGTGGGAACTCTCTAACCTTTGTGGTGTGGTGCTTGTTATCCAGTTACACTCACTGGTTCCCCGCAGGCTTCCACCTCACTGCATCCTGGTTGGGGATTCCAGTTTGCCGGCTCCGGTCAGGGCAGGAGGGGGGAAGTGTCCGGGTACCAGCTTGAACCGAATGAACAGCTTCACATCCTTATGAAGCTCGATATGATGCTGCCTGGAAAGATTTATCAGCTTCTTACAAACATAGATGAAGGTGTGTTGTGTTGGTTATGAGGCCGGTTCGGACAGTTCGACGCCCTTCAAAGAGTCCCAGATGTTCACACCATGCATGACCACCAGATTGCCCTCTCACACTCCCCACTGGAACGTTTAACCTTCGACCTGAGTCAGAATTTGTTGTGGCCGGTTGACATGTGAGCCAAGTCTTAACCAGCTTGTTCTCTTTATCTTTTTTTTTTTTCTCCGTCCTCGTTCCTCTCCTGCCGGGGCCCACCGGGGCCGACGGCGTGACGGCCCAGTGTCCGCTTTCAAAGGCTCATTTCCTCGTGTTGTTTCTCGGGGGTGAGATGGACCGCGGGGGTCCGGGAGGCGTCCGTGTGGAACCCCGGACTCATCCACATTCCCACAAGACACGGCGGGAGATCCTCCCGACTTTATTAGCTCACGCCTCCGTCTTCAGTGTCGCCGAAGTTCATGTGGAGGAACGTGGAATTCCACTGAGGTCGCACCTTCTGAATGCTCTTCTTATATTCAAATTTACAGATGCTGCTTTATATACATGAGCAGTTTATTTGTTTGAGGGTTAGCTTAGCATCTACTGCAGTGCTGCTATAAACATAAAGGAGAAGAACCTCATCTGTGAGTCCACAGAGGATGAAAGAGGTTCTGGAAGAGGTTGTGGCTGCTTAGTGATGATGTATGAGAGGCCCGTCCATTAGTCTGTCTGCACACAAACACTCTCACACACACACACACCAGCTGGATCAGGTATCCATAAGACAATGACAAAGGCCTCAGGAAAGCTTCTCTATGTGGGTCTGCTGTGGACTGAGGCTCCACCATGGGAGCAGATATTGGAAGGTGTGTGTGTGTGTGTGTGTGTGGGTGTGTGTGTGTGTGTGTGTGTGTGTGTGTGAGAGAGAGAGAGAGAGAGAGTTTGTCCATTGCTGTTGTAGCTTCACCTTCACTCATGTCGTCCTTTTGTGTCCGAAGTGCTTCTTGTCCGTCAAACTTTCCACAGCAGGGTGGGGAGATGAACAACGTGTTTTGTGTTTATTTGTGTGTTTGGATGAAAGTGTTTCCATCATGGACAGACAGCAAGAATACACAACTCGTAGCAGGTCATCACTCTGCCTTCTTGAGAAATAAACTTATATAAACGATATCTGTGGTGTGATTCAAAGTTGGCGTGTTTGCTCAATGATCTGTGAACACGTAGAGAAAAGATCATTGTTGTTTTTAGGCTTCTGTTTTTTCGTACCAGCCAAAAAGAGCAGAGAGAGAAAAAGAAATGTGGGTGAACAGAGACAATATTTTTTGACAATACATGTGTAGTCAACTATTGACTTTCTGAAGAGAGGAGCTGTTGATCAGAATCCGTTGATTTACAGATTGATTTCCTTCAGTTTTCTTTTTAAATCCTTTATTTAGCCAGAAGGTCCCCTTTGAGATACCAGATCTCTTCTTCTTCTTCTTCTTCCAGGGAATCCCGGTTAAGATTCACATAAAAACACGTTTGCATGTCGGAACGTGTACAAAACATAAAAACAACAACAACAGACGGGAAACAGTGAATGAAGAGACACAGCAGCACAAAACCCACCTCAGGTCAGGGATCATGTAAAACAGCAGCAGTGCTTCCTTCAGGGCAGTTTGTAAAAACGCATTTTAAGGTGTTTAAAGGAGGGAATGTTTTAGAGGTGGTGATGTTTTACGGCTCATTCTGTGCCCAGAGTGAAGACAAACTGAAAGCAGACGAGTACATCTTCAGAAACTAGTTTATGTGGAGTTGCTGGTATGAAAGATAAAAAGCTGCAGATATAAACAGGAAGTTCACCTGAAAGCTTACGGACTGTGTTGTCAGTATGTTTAAGCTAAAGTTATTTGTTGCACCTTTTTTTTCTCCAGAATTTATATTTTATTTGCCTTTAATTTGAACAACAAAGAAAGAAGTTTTTGCATTTCCGGGTAGAGTTTTAACAGAAATAACTCCTGATGAATTCACATTAATTGAAAGTGTTAATTGAAACTGAATAATGTGTGTATTGTAAGGCTGCACAGCTAACTCCTGTTTTCATTTTTTCATGTAAAATTTAATTTCTAGATTAAATGATTAGTCGTTTGATTTATAAAATGTCAGAAAATTCTAAAGTTTTTATTTTATTTTATTTTTTTAATCTGTCATTTCTCAGAGACAAGCTGTCATTTTGCTTCTTTTTTTTGTTTTTGAACATTTTGCTATGATAGAAGACAGAAACGCGTCTATTTCTGACCGTTTGGCTTCAACTAATCCAACTTATTTGACTTTTTTTGTTGTTGATTGGCTGCCTAAATATTAATTATCGGCTCCACTCCATAGTTTTTTTTTGTTCATCTCAGATTAAACAGTCTTCATACGACATAATCACAGTTTTATTGCACTTCCTCATATTGCGATGGACCAAGTGTTACCAAAAACAGCATTTACATCAGTACGACTACACTCTCATCCTGCAACAGTCTGCTGGTCTAATAACAAACACTTTCCATTTCTCGGTCTTTCTCTCAGAATGTCAGTCGTCCGTCGCGCTCCAGGTTCTGACCTCCCGCTGTCAGGGGAAGAAGAGCTGTCTGGTCCGAGCCTCCACCAGAGACTTTGGAGATCCGTGTTACGCCGGCACCAGGAAGTACCTCAGTGTCATCTACACCTGTGGTGAGTCCCCGCTCTGCCTTTAACTTCCCCGCCACCAGAGGGCGATGTTTGCTAGCGGATCAGCTGTGCTCCTGTTGTGATGTTGTGGGTTTGTGATGATGATGATGATGATGATGATGGTGGTGATGATGATGATGCCATTGGGTACTTGCTGGTTGCAAAAAGCTGTGAATCTGGATAATTTTATTGATTACTGCCACTTAAAATGTAGCGTTTCTGACTGTTGAAGCAGTTTTTTTTGTTGTTGTTTTTTAGTTAAGACTGATGTTCGTTGGCTTTTTGTGAGAATCAAAGCTTCTCCCTCCAAATTTATAGCTAAGCAAATCAACTTTGCACCTCCTGTTGTGATTTTCTTGCCGGTGCGGATGAGGCAGAAGGATGGGCTTCCTCTTTTATCTGTGCACCACCCCTGGGCTGATCCTGACCTGTCAAGGCTGTAATTCATTAACTACACACTTGAAGACATGTTCAAACGCACACATACATGTCATCCAGACCAGGAACTGATCCATCAGCAGCTTTTCCCTGCAGCGTCTCAATCCCGCCGACATCGCCGACCCACAGACCCAAAACCAGACCGGGCCTGCTGTTAGACTTTCAGTGGGATTTTTGAGCTCTGATTTGAAGGAATGTATTTTATGAGATCCAGTCGGTTCCCTCTGGGCTTGAAAATCGCTCCTTTGCGCCTCTTGGGCTTGTAAATTCATCTGTATGTGGATTGCATTTTCCGCTGTCCCTCTGTCTTATTCTCGACTCGGCTGCTAATCTGTGTCCCGATGCTCTAATCAGAGGTTACGGCGTGTTTACTGTCCGCTTTCAAGATTCTTCAAATGCTCCGAATACTGTTCGATTGTCAGACAGTTCACCGAGAATCCTTTATCTCGGCAACAAGCTGAGTTTGCAGTGGAGAACACAGAGGCCGTTCAGCTGTGTTTATGGAGTCTCCGTCTGACCCGCCTTATCTGCCGCTGATAGCACGGCCTGCTATCTGCACCGCTCTGAGTCGGGTTGGTAAATTTTGTGTTTGTCTGGCCCGAGAGACAGCGGAGAAAGGATGTGGGATGGTAAGGCGTTGAGGAGGGGGGTACTCTGGGCTGCGGTGGGAGTTGAACGTGAGTAAATCAGTGGAGCTGCTGTAGACATGAAGTCACTGGTTGCTCCAGGCTCCGGCAAAGTGGTAATTTTGGGGGATCCTCTTTCATTGGTGGTTGAGTGTGTGTAGGATTGACCCCATTTGTGTCGGAGCGGAGGATGGAGGATGTCTGTCTGCCCGTGATTGGTGGTATTTACGTATGTGTGTGGTGGTCTGCACAGTGTTTTCCTCCAGCTGCTATCCTCTTACTAACTGCACGAGGTTTTAAAGAAGTGCTTTATGATGGACAGTAGGAGCAAATTTTATGCACGTAGAAGTATTTTCAAGAATATTCATGAAATTCTGTTTGTGTACGTATGGGTCTCCCTGCCTCGTGGAGCCCCACTGTGAATCTTTACTGCCCTGTAATGACCTGTGTGCTGTTTCAGAGGCTTTTGCAGTCTGCCAGAAATAAAACAACCATGAAAAAAACATGTTTTACGAGTGTATACGTCTTGCAGGAGTATAAGTCGGCGTTTGGGTCACGGGTCCGACTCAGCGCTCAGGCTGGTTATCGGCCTCGGCCTGCCCGTGATTTATAAAGTCGTCAGCCTCCGAAGCTCCGGCCTCTTCCTCACACAGCCCGGAGGGGTGGACTCGCTCCTTAGGAATAACACAGCAGCTAATGGCCTGGAACCTGCCATCAGTCTCCCAGCAGATCACACACACTCTGCACAGCCGCACACTGTCAGGCTTCATTTGCATCCCCCGAAGGAGGAAGTCATCCCCTCCCCCCCCACTGGTCTGTTTGTCAGAAAATTGCTTCTGCAGAATGAGTGCAGCATTTTAATATCAGACGTTCGAATGTTTGAATGAGGTGAACTGTAAAATGCATTCGTAGTCCTGGATTCATGGCGTAAACTTGGAAATGTTTACCTTCAGCTGCAGCTGCCGGAGATTGACGAATGAGTCTGCTTGGGGCACTTTCTTCAGAAAGCGTGGTTCCGATATTACTCCTTTTGAAGTTTCCTTCTTGTTATGCTTTGCTGGTCATGTGGTTAAAGGTTGACCTGTGCCTTCTTGCACATGATGAAATGAAATACCTCTTTGCAACATGCTTTTATCTGTGGAAAAGTTGAATTCATTTTGCATTTTTTGGGTCATGTGTTGGTGTTTTCTAGTTGTAAGAAAGTTTGTATTTATACATCGAGCTCAGCAGGACCTCTGGAGGCTCTGCAGCTTCACAGCATCATTCATGAAGCAGCCTGAAGACACCCTGCTTCCGTCTTTGCGCTATAAAACAAAGTGATAACTTTATACTCAATTGAACAAAATCTGATTTATCCACACTAATCAGATGGTATCCAGAGGAATCTTCCTCTCCTTCCTGTGTCAGTCCCAGACTCGGGCCTCGCTTCCCAGAACATAGTTCCTTTCTTTCCCTGAGGGGTATTAAAGCTTCAGACTTTATATCAAGATGAGGAGGCCTCTCTCCTAAACGTCCCTCCAAGGCTTTCCCTCGGCGCTGCTCACTGTGGTGTAATGGATCACTCTGAACAAGCCTCCTTTGAACCACGCTGCACAGACTTCAGGGGGATAAAAGGTTGTGGAGAGCCTAATGAACAGGTCTAATTGCTGAGCAGGAAATTGATTAATTGTGGCATTTAGCTGGTTAACATGAGATGTGGGGGCTGGAGCGAGGAGGTGAAACACACCGCTGAGGCATTTCCAATCTTGAGGTTGAAACCTCAGAATGGAAATAGGATCCCTGAAAACCCCTAATGAAAGTATAATGAGTCCATTAATATCCTATATGTGTTTTCAGATATAGAACCACCACCACAGCGACTCCGGCTTTTGGACCAGACGTGGAAGCTCTGCCGCATAACTGCTGAACTAAGTTTCCAGTTAGCAGACTGGCTGAAAGAAACGGGCCGTATATCAAACACAAAGATTCTCTTGACAAAACAATCTGACCTCATGGTTTAGTGGTGGCTGCGGACGCTTCAATCATATCACATGATCTCCGTCTGCAGAACTTGCCCAGACGTTTAGGAAATGTGGTTGTTTGAGTTCTGATTGTTGTTGTTTTTATTGTCATCTGCCTTTTGAGGACGTTTCAGTCACGTTTAGTTCATTCTCACAGTTGATAAAAAATGCAAAACAGATTTGTGGTTTAGATTTTTTTTGCATGATTTTATGCACAGTTCACTGAAACTCTAACCACCGTGTTCGGAAACTTTTGGATTTTGAGCAGACTTTAGGAGGCGTTTTATCGACAGCATTCAGTATGTTTGTAATGTTCTGCTTAAAATCAGTTCAGGAGAGTTGACGTTGCTTCCAGAAAGCGCTGCACGTTCATTTCTGGTCTTGATTTTTTTTCAATTTTCCTGCTGAACAGACAAATGTAGACACATATGAAGGCATATTTGTATATTATGTTTAGCATAGTGCAGTTTTAGGCACTATAGATGCTTGGTTTCATATTTATCATGCTTTACTGTGGCAACAGAAGCAAGTGATACTGTTTAAATTCACATAACAGCAAGTATTCATTTTGATTTATTTCTATGTTTGCTGCACTTAATTAAGAAATGCATAGAGAACCTTTCACTGCACTGTGTTTAAAGCATTCTTTGTGTACTTTTCGTGCTTAACACCTTCGCACGGTGCTGCATTTGTCACGTTAGCACGCCAAACTATAATCAAACAACATTTAAATAACATTCGCACACTACAGTGATTGTTACAAGCAGCAAAGAAACTTCACAGAACTCCAAGTTTGTCTCAGAAAAAGTCTTTAAATTAGCTTTCCCCTTCATGCACTTTGTGTATAATTTTCTTTATCTTTTCTCGTATGAAATTGAGTGCGATGTGCGGACAGCGACTGACGGGCGTGCGGTCGCCGGAGTGCACTGCTGGTGTTTTTAATGGACGCTGTACGGGCGGCGGAGGCTGCGTCTGGCTACGCTCGGCTCAGCGGGGCCTGATTTAGATGTAACAAGGGAGAAGCAGGGGCAGATAAAGATGTAATTCAGAAGCTTGAGGGTTTGAATTGTCCCGATCGGTTATGCAGACGCTCAGCGCCGTGATGCTGGAGGTACACATGTGACCGCTGCAAGCTGCCCCACACACACATTCATGTCATGTCAGCAGAGGAGACTGTGGGGAAGATGTTTGTCTTGGCCCGGTTCTGGAGCTGCAGTCCAGCCAGACAGGCAGTAGCTGCTGCTGGGCCTCATGGTTCCCCCTTATAGCTTAACCTATAGACTCAGGACCAGAAAGTGCATTGATTCAAATGTTAGTTTAGGTCAAAGTTGATTGATAGGAAGCGATCTGACATAAAGAAAAAATAAAAGGTTGAATCACTGACATGTGAATGTGCTGATGAATGAGGTTTTATTATTTCATAGCTGCAGTTATCCTCAGTTTTATACATGTTTGTCTTTCTGTTTGTCATTTGCTCACTTTAAAATGCAGACTTAGGTTTTTGTGCTTTTGTCTGTGTAGCTTCTCCGTCCAGGTCGTGGTTATCCCAGGAGCTCAGCCCTGCTTATGTTGTTGTTGTTGTTGTTGTTTTAAAGTGAACTGCATCCAGTGTTTCCACAGAGGAGACAATAAGAGAGACTGAGAAGAAAATAAAACGTATGTGGTGGATAAAATAAACGCAGCGTGGCTCAGAAACAGCAGAGAGAGGAAGAAGGTGTTAGCATGGTGAGATGTCAATCTAGAACTGATGTGCAGAGACGTGTGGACAACAGCATGTAGAGGTTGTATGAATGTAATCTATAGTATATGGAGATACCTTCTTTTTTTTTCTTGATTTATAGCATTATAACTGTGTCATACTGCATAATGCTGGAGCTAAAGAGAAGATGAGAGGTCTTCAGAAAACCTAAAAGAAAGGTTGATTCTAACCGAAGCTCCT